AGCATGGGGGTGAGTAGAAAATGAAGGCTAATCATGTTTTGGGTGTACTATTCCTTTAAAGCATGACACATTTATAACTATCAGGATGAAATAAACATTTCACCTTGTGTAAAAAAAATGCTTTTTGTACAGGATTACCAATTTAAGTATTAATGCAAATGGATAGGCACTCAGGTGCAAAAACACGTACTGTATGATAAGAGGAAACTGGGAAAAAAAGCACACAAAAAAACAACTTTATGATAACACGATTTGCAAGCATATGCAAACTGACCCATAGAACTGCCAGACTGCACAAATGGGAACCTGGAACGTTGCTGTGTCAGGTAAAGCTCAAGAAGAAATAATAAAAACAGTATTATTGACATTTATTTGCAATGTGGCTGTTGACATTAGCTAAGTCTAGAACTTTTGGCTAGATGACCAAGTACATTTAGCTGTTTGGCAAGCTGAAAATATTTTTATTTAAATCAATAAATACCACAGGTATGAATATAATATTATGTCTTGCAAACTGGTTGGATTTGCTTTAATTACGATTATTGTAAACGCATGAGTTGCAACAATTTTGTCCCCTCCACTTTTGATAGCTATCCAATCGGATCACCCCACATTCACAAAACTGTGACACCCACATGCGCTTCTTCTATTGCTTCATGAAAGAATCCTTTCAGCTAGATTGATTACTTAAAGTATAAACTCCACTTCATGTTATTCTCAGTTATCCACAACTTTTTAGCACTTCTTTGAGCATAAACAAACATAATCAGGAATGGCAAATGAAAACTGGACAAGGTAACGTCAGTCATCATAATGTCTAGCTTTTGCTAAAAACTTTTTTTGACATAGCCATTTAAATAAATAAATAAATTAACCCTTGGGTCATGTTAAATAACAGCTCAACTAAACATAATTTAACCATGAAGAATTTTGTTTTTATCTAAACAGTATTGTTATGGATTGATTTAAAATTTAGGAGAGAGAAATGACCAAGGTAAGCTTTTACATTATGTTGTTCAGTTGTGGTTGATTATCATGGTGTTCTTTGGCTGCTGGATTAGTATATGCTTGGTAAATTTACCAAATTTAAACTAGCTAAATCAGCTCATTGGGTTCAGCTGACTATGGACATTGCTGAAAGAAGTTTCCACGCAAAAATTTTGCACACCTCTCACAGCAGCATCAACAAAGCCTCCTGGCTCTCACCTTCAATCTACCACAGTAAGATAATTACCAGTCTCAGTTGTCCAGCTGCATATTCCGTTACTCTCCTCTCCCCCACAGTACTCTGCTATCCCAAGAACCTTCACCACTTCCAGAACTCTGTCTTCCACCCATCCTACTTCTCAATAAACACGTCAAACATTTATCACTGTCTCCTGAGAGATCTTTGCATGTCCTTCAGAAAACTGCCTAAAACTACGATATCTGTTTTAATATAATGTGTGTTTATGCTCCTAATCGAGTAAAAATGTAATAAAAAAGTAAGTATTCCAAACTGAGCCAGGATATAAGTGTTTCTTATGATATAAGAGGGACTTATGATATAAAATCTAGACATTTAAGTTTAACTTTAATAAAACATTGCACTTTTCCTTGGCCTTAATATCCAATAGCCCTGTGGCGCAGAGCCAAAATTACTTCTGAAATGTATTCTGACTTTTGCCACAAACTGTGCTTATTCATTAAATTCCCTCTTCCTCTGGCCATCACTAACAACTGACCCATCTAAATGTTTAGGAAATACCAATTCTAAATGGAGGCATTGCATTATATCTGTGCAGTTGTGTGCCAAGATAAGAAACCATAAAAGGGAGTGGAGGAAAATGGAAGAAAAAAAACAGGGGATGAGAACAAGCAACCATATTAAACGTGTTCATATAAAAAAAAAAGTTAAAAAAAATCATCGGGGGAAATTAGCGAAACGTATATGTCTTTTCTGAAACAAACAGAATGGGAGCATAATAAATCAGGATTCTATTGACCTTCAATTTATGCAGGCTAAAGAGAATTATAGTTAAGCATCTGCTAAAAGTAAACAATTTTATCATTCAATGGCTGTTCAAATTCTCTCTGTGCATAAAGGCTTAGACTAGACCCAGTATCCCACACATGGAACTAAACCCCATTAGGTAAATCCCTTGCTTTCACAGGGTCATTGGCAGGTTTCCATTTAGATAAAAGGTTTCTGCTAGGAATCAGGGAAATAAAAAATAATCAAAGACTGAGTAATTATTCAACAAAGCAAAGAGTCCTCTGAAATCTCATGCCTCACTAAATAACAATGTGAACTGCTGGTCACAAGTAAAGATGAAACCATGATGACCCCAAAAGTCAATTTAATTTTGGGTTCTGAAGTCAGAATGAAAAGATTATAAAACAAAGAACAACATTTAAGGAACTATAAAAACAAGAAGTGAATCACATGTTTATTTTGGATTTTCTCTCATCCACAAAAGGTTTAGATCACAGAGACATCTATGTTTTTTTATTTTTTTTATTTTTGCATGTATCAGTAGATTTGTTGGATAGTTATGTCAAAATAGGTTCTCTCTTATTGGCAGAACTAGCAGCTTTTCTGGCACATACCAAGCCTGTAATCTTTACCTTTTGTTTTTCAAAGTAGTTGAGTATATAATTATTCTAAGAGTTCAGCGTTTGCCTGTTTCATCCGTTCAACTGCATGTTTTATAAATATATATTAGGGGTGGAACGGTTCACAAAATCCACGGTTCGGTTCGGTTCACGGTTTCGTGGTCACGGTTTTCGTTTCGGTATATGTTTATTGTTACACCAAAAAAAATAAAAAATAAAAAATTATAAAAATTAATGAATTTTTTTTTAAATGAAATTAATGAAAAAATCCCCAAAAATTACTGAATTGTAATTATTTTTAATGATTCGCGAGAACCACGGATCATTTCCGCATGTTTTGCTGCTTTGAATTTAATCATCTCGCGCATGCTGTCTACCATCTCCAAGGAACTCAGAGCGGAGCGGACCGGAGCCACAGTGGAGGCTGTAGGCTTTGCTTTGTGCAGGCGGTCTGGAGCGCAGCGGGGCGGGGCGGGGGTTGCTGACGCAGTATGTGGGATTTCGGGGTTAGCATGACATGTTGGTAATGTTGCTGTTAGCATAAACAAAACGTGTTGCACAATGCTTGCACACTGTTGCACTTTTATCCACAACTTTCTTTCCGCCGTCATCGTAGGTCACTCTAAATGCAAAGTGGNGTGTTGTAGTGTGATGCAGAAAGTGGATGGAATTACAACAAAAGAGGACCAAGTTCAAATTACTTCAAATCAACGGCAACATTTTTGTACAGTTAGTTTCCAATAATTCCAAAGTAAGCTAATATAAAGCCTCTAGAACAGTGTGACTTCAAACATACTGAACGCTTGTGCAAAATGCTAAAAAGTAAGATCCACTCTATGAAAACAACCAAGTTAAATTAACTTTACCAAGATTATGAAATGTAGAATTGTACTAAGACCTTGATTCAAAAATAGTATGAAATTGATGTACAATTTGCTAGTTAACTTTTTTGACAAAGGTGCAATAGAGAACATGCAAATATAAACTTCCAACACAACTAAAAATATATATAATATAGCATTTTGTCTTTCTTTGAAATGAAGATTGAAAAGCGTTATTAAAGTCAACCAATTTAATATGTTCTAAAGGAGTGTTGGTGTAAAAACATTTCATATAACAGTCCATCTTGAATATGTATAACATTTTGATATTACACCAATTTAAAAGAACGGAAAAATGTACTTTCCAATACGTATATCTGTATACACAAATAACAAGTTGAAAAAAATGTATCAAAGGGTTTGGTTTTCTAAATTGGGATATCTTTAGTAGTAGAGGGAAGATTAGAAAATATCTTATTTTTTATCTTATATTTATAACTATTATATCCTTCTGATGTCATTATTTTTCCATGCTCTTTTTCATGCTATTCAGATCCATATCAGAAACAACACCAAATATAAAGGTTTTTCGCATGCTGTGATTTTCCTACCTTGCCAAGAATTCCCCTGAGCTGCCATTATTTTGTTGTACATCCATACAGTTTGTAGTTCCAGGAATGAGTGCCAGGGCAGGATTCTCCTGGGCGGCACTGCCCACTGCCCGTGCTACAAACTCTAGTGAGTCCTGAACATAATGATCCAGTGAAGGGGATCCCATCATTCCATGTGCAAGTAGCCCCAGTGGTAACCCGTCTGTTCTCAGCTCAGCCACATTTTGGCTGTCCCCCAAAACCCAGTGAAATTCCGGGAGAGTCATTCGAGTTGCAAGTGTCCATAATCTGCGCACCTCCCGAATGTCACACCCAAACGTTACCACTCCTCGTGTGGATGAATGTTCCCTCAAAGCTTCCAGCTGCCGAATGAGGCCTTGCTGCTGGTCTGGTTTGGAAGAAGAATTTGAAGAAAATGATGAGGCCGTTGGTGAAAAATAGGATAAGGATAGCACCTCCACTCCCACAGGGGCACTTGTTGTTTCTGCTGAGGATGATAGTGAAGATGATAGTGGTGGCAGTGTTGTTTTATTTAGGTTGACCAGAGCTCCCAAGCGGAACCGGGTGTTGTTTTTAATGAGGAGGAGAAAGTCACTGATGTTCCATTCCTGGCATAGGACAATGCTGATGTCCCACCAACCATTCATCATCAGCAGATAGTAGAGGAGCTGGTGCGGGGGGGCCGCTACAGACTGCATTGCCATTTGAAAATGAAGACCATTCTGTGAGAGGTATTAAAACTTGAATTAGAAATGAGCCAAGAGACAGAAAAAAAATGTTCATAGACTAAGCAGCAAAGTATACAGTTGGGTAGAGACTATTGAATATGTCTTTTTTTTTATGCTATTTAGTTTGATAAGGTAGTAGTGAAGTTACTTCCTAAATTATTTTAATAAATATATATCCTAATGATATTAATTACCCATCAGATGCAAGTAAAAAACAACATAATACACACATACAAAGAAATCAGAACATAAATGACCATAAATTAACTTACATATAGAAAAGTCAAAGGACATAAAGGATAGGTATTCGAAATAGCAAAGAAGACATTTTAAAATAGGCATTAAAACCCCAAAACTCGACTGAAATCTCCAAACATCCACTTAAAAGTATATTTTTTTGGGACATAGTTTTGCAAGCTAAATTTCAGCAAATATATATGAAAAATAATGGATAAAATTACAGATAGATTCTTTATGAGAATCTTAATTTTAAGTAAAGAGATTTTCCACGAGGCAGTGATTCTAAGTACACAGCAATGGAAAGAGTTTTAAATTAGTTGTGAGATTCTAGAATAGTTGAATATGCAATTGCATCTATGGACTTCAAACCTGAACAGAGCATGATGTGTTTTATCAATGTTTATGTCAGCATCTGTAGTCACTAAGTTTAAGGAAAACACCCAAAAAGTCCTAGTGATCTAAGTAATTAATTATATGCACTTCTATTATGTAATATCATCAACACAAACACGCTCAACACAAAATAAGCAATTTTCTGTGCCCTTTCTTAGGACTTTGTGTTTTGTAAACTCCTCAAATAAAAATCCATATTTCATTACAGTAAAAAGAAAAAAAACTGCTTTAATGTAAAAAAAGGCTATTATATAGTTGAATTAAAGAAGAAATTTGTGCTGTTATTTGCTTTTCTATTTCTATGTATGTTCACAATTTTCAATAAAAACAATCTAGCAGACTAATTATTCCCTGGTGCTTCAAAGGTGACTAAGTTTTAATATGTGGAGGTATGATTGTTTTTGGAAACGATTTAGCCAAAATACAGCCAGGACAGGCAGCATTAGTGTATTGACATGTTGGGATGCCTCCCTTTTGTTTCAGGCTGTATGCAGCCTCTAGATAAAGTCTAATTCTTTACAACCAAATATAAATCTAAAATCAACAACTTTTTTTACATTTCTAACACAAACATGGATAACATGTATTAAAAAAAGAATAGCAGATTACTGGTATTACAGACTCCTTAAAGCACGTTACACTCTACCTACAATCGCATTACTTATTTACTTACGCACACAGACTGATAAACAGATACCAAGATTGAGGAGCAACTTGTTCTTAAGGGACTACTTATTCCAACTAAGCCACTGGTGCACCTCAGATCATTGCCTGTGCAAGAAAGACATCTAGTAAAAAGATTAGACTAGATCAAAGTTAAAACTACAGTCAAGTACTTTAGAAACTGTTTATTATGAATGAGCAGGCAACAAGAACGCCTGCTTTCTCTTAGGAAATGTTGTTATATTGCACACAGTTTACAGGTTGCAGGTTATCCAGCTAATCAGTAAGTAAAGCTCTTGTTTGATGCAAGTGTATACTACTAAGAAAAGTTAAAAGGCCCCATAGCACCATGGCTTAATTGTCTTCAAAACTTCAAAGTGAGCTTTGCACTAAAAAGTTATTTGATGAATATATTGGTTAAATCAAAACACCAAACTTCTCTTTAAATATATACCTACAGTAGATGAAGCATTTGTATGAAGAAGCAACAATTAACTATTCAACTTTTTTTCAGATATTGAATTTCCGCTTTGGGAGTTTGTAATGCAGTCTGCAGGGTATCACACTCTCACTTCAATACACATAAGGATTTAATCTTTACTGCAGCACTTCAGCAATGTAATCTCCATAAATGTGTTGGCTTCTCACTTTTTTCTAAATGTAAGTAAAAATGACATATTTTCAAGAGAAGGCCTAGTAGCCCTGTCCTGAAACAAAAATAAATATGTTGTATTTTAAAGCACCTAAATGTCTTGGCTCTTTTGTTTGACGTGACATCTAATGTCTTTCTTTTCCATTAAAAATCTTCCCCCCTGTGATTATGCAATCTAAGAGACAGCCGCTGTGGCTTTCTGTATAAAGGAAGACTTTAGTGCACAAGAAAACAGCAGACACTGATAGAGCCACAGAAAAGTGGACAAATAAAAGTAGACGGTAATGACTGGGTTATTGAACTGCTTGTGATAAGATGGTATCTTGCAGGGAAAGCTATTCAATAAGAATTTCCTGAAGAAATCATCAATGTCCCAAAGCTGAATGGTTGGTTATCAATCTGAAGTTTACTGCTTATGTTGTTGCTAAACAAATACAAAAACTGCACAGTACACCTGTCCCTAAAACGAGGACTTATTACAAATTCAATATACATATAATATCTGGAGCCCAAAAATATGCACCCAATCACACTCATGTAAATTAAAATGATGTAATGAGAGTAATGGCAGAAAAAGCTATGAATGATGTAATCATAGATTGTGAGCTTCTAACCAAGCAGCCTTGGTTTCTCTAAACAATGGAAAAATACAGAATTCAAAGAAAATAAAGAATTAACTTTGTATAATCTGAGGAAGTTCAGACCAATGAAGGAGTTACAGTAATAATATGGAGATAATTGGCAACCTTACATTAAACAAGTAAAGTAACTACTTACAGTTACAAGTTAGATTTCTCCAAAAGTAAACAATTACTAACTCATCATTACCAGAGATGGGAAGTAACGAAGTACAAATACTACGTTACTGTACTCAAGTAGATTTTTCTGATATTTTTACTTTACTTTACTACTTATTTTTATGGCGACTTTTTACTTCTACTCCTTACATTTTTACACAAATATCTGTACTTTCTACTCCTTACATTTTAAAAAAAATGGCTCGTTACTTTAGTTTTGAATAATTTCAATGGAGTTACCGTTATTATTTTTCACGTCATCAATACCAAATTCAATCTAATTGGATGGGAATCTACGTTGCATTTGACGCACCACTACAAGATGAATCGACAGATTCGGCGGTATTCATTTGCGGCAAATCATTGCAGCTTGGTGGCGGTGGCGTTAGCATAGTAGCATGGACGACGAGATGATTGAAAATGAACACAACGGAGATCTAGTCCTATTGGCAGACATCCATTTAAAATGTAGGCAACGGCATGAAAAAAGTGGTTTCTACTTTTACTTTTATACTTTAAGTAAATTTACAAGCCTGTACTTTGTTACTTTTACTTGAGTAAAGAACTTTAATCAGTACTTCCACTTTTACCAGAGTATTTTTTAACACAAGTATTTGTACTTTTACTCAAGTACGGAAAGTGAATACTTTTGCCATCTCTGATCATTACACTATCAAAGTAGCTAATCACTACGCAAAGTAATTATAGTTTTATTTTTAAAAAATATTAATGGATTTGGATGACTGTACTTTTAAACTAACTATAAATCAAACAATGGATTTAATGGTCAAACATAAAATATTAAATAAATGACAACACTGCACACTAATCTTGACCTTTTAGCGTATATGGTGCAATTAGTGAGTCAAGCACCTGCAATTATATTGTCTTAAATATGATAATTGTTATCATGTTGGATTTTCCTTTATTGTCAAAAGTGTGTGCAATGCATCATATAAGCCTTCTTAGCCAATCGTTGTTGCAAAAGCCTCATTTTGGGCATTTTTACTCTCCCCCTGTGCTAGAAACAAAAGTTTTTGAATCTTATTGGTTTCATTTCCATTTTGAGTTGTTTTCTGGTTATATTTGAGTTATTATGCATTTCTAGTTCACCCTCTGTTGCCCTCTTGTGTCAGTCTCTTTCCCCTAACTCTCTTCTAGATTCTTATGTCCACACCTGTTCCTTGTCTGCTAATTAGTCCTCCCATTGTTTCTGTCTCCCATATATACACCTCCTGTTCAGTCACTCTTTGCTTGTTCATCATATTTTTTGATCCTCATGTGTGTTTTCCCTGAATTCTTTTAGCTAATATTTTTTTTTTATTTTGCCTCAGTTGCCATTAGAATTATTAAACTTGAAAGAAACCAGCTCAGCTTCCATCTCTGCATTTGGGTCCTTCAAATCTCCATCCAACCTGAAAGTAAATAAAATAACAACATTTCCAAATGATAAAGTAATTAGTAAAGTTACTCAATTGGTTTAAAAAGTATACTGTTACAGAAAGAGTTATTTACCACTGCTTTACTCAACACTGTTTTAAGTTTTCTAAGACTAATGAGGTGTCCTCATCTCTTATGCAGACCATGTCTAATAAGCTCTATAGAAAAAGCTACTGCAGCTTGGTAAAGATGTGCAAAATGCCTTACAACAACTAAGAACTCCTAGATTAGGAATTATTTTTACAGTTATCTGATTAATTGCTATGGAGAATTTACCTTCCTGACTATCTGGAGTAATTTTCTGAAGTCTGCAATTTTAATGAATGGCTTGAACAAGAAATTAGGGATTTGCTAAAATACATTTTCTAGACACTATGAAAATTTTTAAAAAGTAAACTTTCAATTTTATAAGTTTTATTTCATATAAGTATCACACTTAATTTCAATCTGGTCAACAGCCACCACTTAACAAATACAGTCAAAATAAATATTAAGTTTTTCTAAAATGCTCAATGGAAGGCTGTCGTAATAAGATAGGTTGGATTTTTTCAAGGTTTTTTTTTACACTTCTTTACCAATTGTGGTAATAAATGTCGAAGACGCTGTAAGAATTTATCTGTCCTTTTATCTGCACTTAGCAGCAGTACATTCTTCATTACACCAAGCAAAGTCTCTGCGCTTTAAAGTGCTGTAAACAAAAAATACATTATGTAAAAGAAGTGTTGCTATTAAATTGTAGGAAATGTGCAGCAATGGCTGTCTCCTAAACCTTAAAAAGAAAAGCAGGAAGATGGATCCATACTGTGTAAAAAGGGACTGAAATTAAGTTTCCTGAAGCAGCAAGAATAAAAAGCATGCATCAAACTGCCTTGAAAATAACCAGTAGTTTTTTAGAGTCATTGGAAATTAAAAAAGAAAAAGAGTGTAGGTTGGAGGGGGTGAGCTCATTGCAAAATATGCTTTTTTTAAAAGGCACATTGTGTACAGTGTATGTTAAATGGTACATTTCTGGAGCTTTGCAAAGGAAGCAGAACAAATGTGGGGAATGCAATTTTTTAAGAAAGCATCTTAAAAAGTATAAATAAGACCAAATTAAGCATTTTCAGGTAGTAAAGGGTAGTTTATTATGAAGATTATAGCAAACAATTAACAGATAACAGGTGACAGGTTATACTGACTTTAAATATTATTTAATAATAATTGAAATTTTTTAAACTTGCATTGGAGAAATTTACCTCTGCATTTAACTCATCCCCTTGGGGAGCAGTTGGTTGTCAGTGTGGGGCACCTGGAGAGTAGTGTGGGGTTAAGGGTCTTGCTCAGAGGGCTCTCTGAGGGGCAGTATGTGGGCGTGGGGCTTGAACTCAGAACCTCAGGATTCCAAGCTTTATGCCCTCACTATTAGGCCACCACTATCCCGTTATTGTGTTATTTTAAGTGTATTTTATGTTATTTATTAAAACACTTCAAACTGCTAATCCCGTGTTAGTCCAAAAGCCTATTAAAGGTATTGTGTAACACTACAGCAGCAAGTGTTTTATATTTACGTTTTATAGTTACGCAAGTGTTTATTTACTAATTTATATATATTTACGTAGTGCTTAAATTTTTTTTTTTTTATTATTATGTACTTTTAAGCATAGTTTTCAAATGTAAACCAAATTTTTGATATACTTGGCTTTTTGACAATTACATATGCTTTAAACGGTATAAAAAATGGCTGTCACTGGTTTCACTTGGATCATTCTTCTCCATAGGCTTAGATACACAATAGGATGGACTGACAGTGCTCTGGATTGGTACAGAACCCCTACTCCACCCCTGCTCTTAACCTTTTGATCTGGAACTTTGTTCATTCATGTCTCCATCCTCTATGTCTAGCAGAAACCTCTCTTGAACTCATGTTAAATACATCTGCAAGACATTTTATTACTTCAAAAACATCTCCAAACTGCAATCCTTCAGTCTTTATGCAGTCTTTATGCAGTAATGTATAATATCATTCTTTGAGGCTCAATTATTGCAACCCAAGTTTCTAAGGAACACCTCCAAAAACTTCAGTAGATACACAATAGTCCAGTCCAGCTTTTGAGAAGACTAGGATACATACCATCCCAATTAATCAGTCACTACCCCGGCTCCCTTTACAAATCTGGATAAAATACAAAGTTTGCCTGCCAATGCAGCATTGTACACATCCCATAATCTTCACCCTATCTGAAAGAACTTTTTACTCTTCAGGCATCCATACGATCCCTCCGTTTAACAAGCTCTTACAGTCTCCTTCCCTCCTGGAATAAACTCAAAATCTGTGACAACACGGCCTTTAGACTTTTTAGCAGTTTAGGGTAGAAGTGATGAATTTTTGAAAAATACCATTGTCTCTAAACATAATTTTAATTCTGCTGATTTTATATCCTGTTTCTGATATTGTAATTAATTTACTTTGTGTAGCATATTGAGGCTTTAATCAATGAAATACTTTATAAAAGCAATAAATTAGCCTTATTATTATCAACTTCCAGAAAACCTGCTCTGGATAGACTTCCAAGTTTTATTCAATGGTATCAAAAAACACACAGCACAAACTATAACTCATTGTGGTCTGGGGAACCGATATTATTTGCTTAACTACTTCTCCAATCATTCTACAAAACAATTAAAAGCATTCCCACAGTTCTTAAATAATTCAGACTTAACCTTTGTCTAAACTTGAACTGTCTTATCTAGAAGTTTGTGAGGCAAAACTCAACCACATCAGAAAATAAATGTGATCCTCTCAACAAAAAGAGAAAAAAAAAATCAACATTTGGTGAAAGACTTCAGATGGAAGTCAGATGAAACAAGATTGAGCCTTAGGGGAGGTGAATCATTTCTATAAAACTTTCAGGTCAACTCTCCATACTTTGTAAAGCTGTCTTTTTTTGGCAAATTTTTTCAACCTGTTCCAAAATCTATTCAACCACCTGCCATCTACCTCTCCATCAAACGATTTCTGTCAGCTTTGTCTGTACATGTTATTTCACTTAGGGGAACCAGTTTGGACTTTTAACACCTGATGAACCTACAGAGAAATGCTTCCTAGTGCACTGAGCAGGAAATTAGATGTTAGACTAACAGCACGGACACAGGCACACACACAAACACATATATATGCACATCTTAAGCTTGTAGGTTTCAACTATTGTAGATCCCTCTTGTCCAACTAATTGGTTTGGGTGTGGGGGACGCTGTTTCTTCTGTTATCAACTAGACAACAGAAGAAAACAACACAAATAGGTTGTGTAAAAGAGTGAACACACATTCTACAGAAGAGCACACACCTAGCAAAGAAACTATTGATGAAACATCCCAGCAATTAATTCAATTCTTTAAACTTTTAACTAATTTAGTGCTACTCCTAATGCAGCTGTAAACTTCCAATAAGTGTTTTGTTGAAGAGTTGAATTTCTTTCTGATTAAGATGTTCTTCTCCATTCAGTCAAATGATTAGAACTTAAACTTGCGACAAGCTATTTTTTTTTTTTATGAAAAGGAATTACATTGGAATCTAATTTTAGTTGTACAAATGCTGAATAAATCCCATTTGCATATTTTACCTTCCCAATTGAACCATTTAAAATAACTAATCCCCAGTTGACAAGATCTAAGTTTTATACCATGGCGGTGGCATGATTGTTACCTATAAGGTTGGTATTCAGCATTTTGTATGAAAATGAAACCATAAAAGTTGCATTGACAATGTTAGATGTAATAAAATCATCAAGGGAGTTCATGCCATTCATTGTAAGCTCTAAAGTGTTTAAACTTGACTTAAAGTAGGAGCTGCCCATGGGCAAGCTGAACACAAATGTCGGAAGCTCGAGTGGACAAATCTATTATTTGTTAACGTACAAAATAAAGAGTGAAACATTAAGCATCTCTGGTTTTAAAAATAACCAGTTCAGAGTCAAAGTGAAAGTTTCAAACTTGAAAATCCTTAGCGATGTAGGTGGAAAAACACAAGAATAAGATTACAACAGCATTGTTAAACTTCAGGTTAAAACAAGTAATAGATCACTGAAACTTGGTGTTCTAACAGGACAAAAAAGTCCAAACACATCATAATTGGTATTGAAATGGATACAGCAGTGGACTTCATCAATGGACTAAAAAAGCAATACCACACAATCTATATACTACACCCATTTTACACCCAAGATTAGTATTTTTGGAAATATAATTTTCACTGTGCGGATTGGAAATACAGTCTGCTAAGTATTCAACTGTTTAATAACTCAACAATAAAATGAAAGGTGCAATATCTATGATAAGGTGTTCTTGCCACAAAAAACAAAACAAAACTATTTGACAAAGAGATAAACTATTTATTTTTGCAACAAATGTTTACTCTAAGAAACAGCTGAGAGGCCCATGCAGGAACAACAGAAATCCGCAAATGATTAAGATGAATCTGATGACAGGACAACTATAAGTTGTACCCTATAAACCTCTCCTATTAAAAAGAATCACAAACAGAAGTCCACTGTGTGCTTAGAAAGTCATATGAAGTCCTTTCTGCAATTGAAGTAGCCATGTAATGGGCACCATAAATAGATGGTAGAGGTTATTTTGTTCAATGAGACCAAAAATGAACATTTTTAGCCTAGATGCCAAACACTTTTCTACAAAGAATAAATAGAGCCTTCTTTCTTAAGATGCACACAACTCTGTGTTGATTTATATATAAACCTAATAAATAAAGGCAGTAATGATAAAATGAATGTTTATGATAACTGTTCAAAACCTTTTTACTGTTAATTACAATGCAATGGGCAAAAAAATGGCACAGTGTATTATTATTATTATTATTATTATTATTATTTTGCAACATGTCAAAATTTGCTGTTTGGCCTAAGTGCCTAGGTTATTAAAGACAAAATCACTGAAAAATGAGAATGAGATACTTTTAGGGTTTTGACTGAGCTATACAGATGTGCTCAGACACAGAGGCATGCCCTCTCTCATCAGTCATTTTATAGCTGTTGATCAAACAAGAGAACAACACATCCTTGAGCCTTTTTCTGCAAAGGTTGGAAGCATTTCTTTTTCAGCACCATGGAGAGCGCCTGGTGATGTTTTCTTCATGCAGTGATCGAGTAATCAGAAAGGGAAGCTTAAACTGCATACTTTATGGTAGAAACAGGGTTGAAGATCAAAGCCCGTCCTTCTTCCATGGGTTTATTCATTTTTTTGTTAAACTTAGTTAAATATTCCACATTTATTGAACTTAAATGAGCCAAATTATGAAACATATAGATATGAAAGAAGTTAGCCGAAATCACAATAAGCCACAGAGGATGAAACAAGTGATCAACAGTTAACAGTTCAGAAGAAGCTGAAACTTTTTTTTTTTTCTTCTTTACCTCACTTTTACGCGGAAACTCCTTCTGCACGACGCTGACAACTGGCACCTGCAGCGCCAGCGAAATGAATTCCAACTTTACAAGCTCATCCCGGTTCCTAGGAAAGGCGAGCATAGCGGAGACCCCCTGCACGACCACCGTGTGACACACGCTCTCCAGGAAAGACAGCGGGTCTTCGTCTTCGGGAATGTCCGTGGAGGAGTATGAGAAGGCTGGCAGCTCGCCCAGCGCCGAACCTACTGCCATAACTATCTCTAGGGATAAATTGTAAGGTAGCAACCCGGCCCGGTTCAGAGCCTCAGCCGCCAGCAGGACCAACTCCCGAGGTGAGAACACGCCATCCTCCTTTGAGGGATTCCCTTCTCGCTGTCTCGCCTGGCTTTTAATCCTACTTGTTCCCCGCTGACTGTTTGCTGCGGCTCTAGTCCTGAGGTTTCCATACCCAGGCGCACCGGCACCTGTTTTGACTGCTTTCCCAAACTCCAGCGGCTGATCTCTTGCGAAAGGTCCCTCGGCGCCTTCATAGCCGCTGCCAGGAGCTGCGGCCACCAAGCGGGGATGGACGTGCAGAGCTCCCACCCGAACCGTGTGGCCGATCCGCTTAAGCACCTGGCATGGCTGCGGGTGCGAGAGAGCGCACGGAGGGTGGAAAAGGAGAGCGCACAGTAGGAAGCACAGAGGCGGCGAGACCCCGGCGCCTGGACGTGCTGTCGAGACATCCATCACCATCATAATCCCGTTCGACCTCGTCATCCCCGCTCCACGGCTGCACCGCATCCCCAGTCCAACCACTCAACAGCCCACCAGCGGGGCAGCTCCGTCGGTGCCACTGCTGGCCCCCTGCGTTTGGCCCTAGAGTACCACAAAGACCAGCTGCAGCCCTCGCTCCCGCTCCAGCTCCGCTTTCAGTTAAAGTTGTGCGTTTCTCTGACACAGACAACAGGCTGTTGAGGCGCAATATCAGGAAGGAGCCACACACAAGCAAAAGATGATCCCCAAAAGTGCTGCTTTTCATCTCAAAGGATTTTCATTTTCAGGTCAGCTGATAACTAACAAAATCTTCCAACCAAACGATATCATTTCCACATATCCCAGAAATATGGTACAAATATGAAGAGGAATGAAGATATGTCCACAAGAGAAAATGTTGATTTTAATGCGCATCAAACACATTCCAAAACAGTAGAATCCTCGACTGCAAAAGCCAGTTGGTCATTGGTTTTAACGAAAAAAAAAAAATCATCCCAATATCTCCGCTGTTGGTGGGCAAAAAGACATAGTTCTTACTCCAATTTGCACAAATGACAAACAAAATAAATATCTTTTCCTATCACCCAAGTAAGAGCTGTAAAGAGCGCACGCGCCGCTGGCTCGAGACAACCTCCACTGACACTTGCACTGGGAAAGACCTTCAAGAGTGCAGTCCTTTTACGCAAGAATATTTAACCCCATCTGTACGTACATAACGCATTCTAAATGGACCGAAGTTAATGAAATATAACCATATAATGTAAAATTAGCGTGTGAAAATAAGACGTATTTATTCATATAGAGAAAATAATGAATATCCCAATAAATATTCATGAAACACGACTTACTATAATATGATACAAAATCCATCTAAATCGCACCTAATTATACAAAATAAACTAAGCTGACTTCATTAGGAATGACAATTATTGAACTGAATTAAATAGGAACTGCAAACTGAAATATTAAATATAAAATGAGGTAATTTACACTTATTTTAAAATAACTTTAATGTTATATATATTGTATGTACTGTACTGTTTTAAAGAAATTAGTATTTCTGTCTGAGTTAAGTTCCTGTTGCAGTTAATGTACTGCAAACGTCCTTATACCTGTTGAATTTTTCAAACCTTTTATCATTATCTGGCCTGTTTGCTCTCCCTTAATTTCTTTCACCTGTCGTTTTCCCTCCCTGCCTCAATTATCATTTATTCCTCTCACCTGTTTCCTTTGGTTTATATTCTGTTCAGCCTGAGCATTCGATTCCACTTGCTTTGATTCTGTATTATTTTCCTATATTTTAATCATGTAAGGCTCTTTGCATTGTCTTTGTACTAAATTGTGCTATATAAATAAATTTGCTTGCCTTGCCTATATATGGTTTGTTAGCTTTTTTCTATATGTTTTGGGTAATTGCCCTGCAGGGAAGGTAAACCCTGTTACAGTTATAAGTATTTTGCAGCCTCTATGACTCTGTATTGAGCCACATCCATTTTCCCATCAACTCTGCAGCTGCATTTCTCAACTGGCAAAGTGTCTTCCACAAAAAATTATAGAAACTACACCAGTATTTGATTAAGACCAAGTTTATGGAGTAAATGAATTATAGCTGCACTCTCAAAAGATTCTCCCAAGGTGGGCTTCGGATCTCTGCAGCTCCTCCAGTGTTGCTACAGTTGGTACTTTGTGATGCTTTTCATGTTAACGTTTTGCTGGACTGGCCTATCAATGTAAGTGGCTGCCATGTCTTTATACATTTACACTAATATAGAACTATTAATGTTAATGCCAGACAGCAATTCAAAGCTTATTTATTTTATTTAACGGTTATATTGGCAAAGTATAAACACACACCACAGCTTTCAGATTCTTTATATAAAGGAAACTTATAAACATAATTTTCCCTCTGCTTCACAAGAATGCAGGTTATCTGTGTGAATCTGTCACATAGAATATTTTGGAAATCAATTTAGATGTGAAGGAACATGAAAATGTTAACACATCGCTATTTAGAGTCCTTTAGAAACCAAGTTGGTAATCTAAATGAAAGCTCCTATGTGTTTGATTAATACTCTGGTCTACATAAATGACTGGCTATTAGTCCTGAAATACGTGATCTTAAGTATTTTGTGAAAAAAGAAATGTTCACATTAAATGGGAATGTTCAGGATAAAATGACAGGCTAACTGCAGTATAATAATAATATATAGAAAAAATGTAGAAGCCCTACAGGGGGAGATGGATCAGAAGGAATTGATAGTAGGGGGAAAATTGAGAAGAAGGAGATATAAAGAACAGGGAAGGAGAGAGAGAAATTCAATTTACTTCAATTCGTTTTTATTTGCGTTGCTCCAGAACACAACACATGTCATCTCGGAGCATTTTACATGGTGCAGGGAGGTCAAGACCGGCTGTTACTGAGAGCAGCCCCACAGTTTCCCATTAAGAAAGCACGGCAGGAGGAGTGAATGCAGGAGATATGAAGGAGACTGGAAATGGGAGAAATGAAGAAGAGAGAGAGCAGAAAAGGAGACGATGCATCATTTCACTTTTGTTTAGAAAAAGAGCAGGGACAAAGCAAAAATATAAAGTTTGATTGTATATACCACTCCCAAGAATGAGAAGAAAAACTGAAAATATGTAATTCAGTGCATATATGTCAAAAAGTCATAATAGCAAAAAGAACAAAATAATCTGTCTCTACAGCAAAGCTGTGGAGTTGAAAAGAAAACGTTATTTCGGTTTTTGATTTCCTCTGACAACTGAAATGAAGAAAGGAAATGCTTTTTAGTTTTATAAAAGCATGTTAATCACAATGTTTTTTTTTCCTGTTTATCACAAAGTTTACTTTTTCACAAATTCAGAAACTTTTAGAAAATGTATTAAAGATGGTATCCTTTTTCCTTTTCATGTCAATGGTAACTGTGTTATTTTGTGTTTTTGTGGAGCATTGTCTGTTAGATGGCACAGTGGTTTAAATATCATCACTTCAGCACTTTGTTCCTTTTGGTTTGTTTGAAGACAACATTAATGATGAATAAACAGCTCTCCCTGCCACATGCTTTCTTAAACATGACAACAATATTTCCCCAGACATACTACAGGTTGACATTCCTTTCTTTTCTCAGTGGAAAAAAAGATAAAACATAATCATAAAACTGGTTCACAGAATAATTCATATCAGATATATTGTAAACCATATTTATATCTTTATATGAACTAACTCCATACATAGATTAATTTATATTTCTATATGAAACATTGGGACTTATACCCCAAAAACCTGTCCAAAAGCATATGCTTCTAAGTGCTGTTTTAACAGCAGCATTCTTTTCAAAACTTTTATACTGAAATAAGAGAATGCAGTTCTAACACTTATGAACTTCTTTAATTCATAACAATTAAATGAAGTTGGTTCCACTTAATTTATTTGGTTCATTAGTTGTTACGATAAACTGTGTTAAGTTGGGTAGACTTAATTCTATAACGTTTACATTGATGAATATAAGTTGGAGCTACATTCTCTTTTTAGAGTGGGTGGCACATCTGCTCACTTTAAATATTTCCCTTTCATGTCATAGTTTGTCTGCACCCACAATCTGTATGTCAGCTTTTCATGCTTTAAAAGGTTATTCAATTTTGCTCTCCACCTGACATGTTTGTTTTTGTTTGTCTAATTTTGTTTTATTCTCATCTGAGTTTTTGTCTGATCTCTTCTCTGGCTAAATATTCATTCATGGTCCCTTATCTGCTTTCCCCATTTTTTCTGCATCCATTTCTCATCTTGCTGATTTCCTCACCTGTCAGTATAAATTTTATGTCAACATGATTGCACAGCTGTACTCCTCCATGTCATTCTAACGCCACACATGTTTTACTTCATGTGAAGTCTCATCCTTATAAGATGCAGCATCAGACTTTCCTGTTTCTTTCAGCCTGCCAGGCAAATTCTCTACATGGTGGCCTTCCCTTTCAGAAAAAAGAGCCAACACACAGTTTAATCCTCAATGCTGCAGGTGAAGGTTATGAGATGAATGTAAAAAAAAAAAAAAAGGTCTAATACACATAGTTTCTGTGATTCTGTATTAAAAACACTTTTAGGTTTGTCATCCGTTTCAAAAACTTACAATTTTGAAAAGACTTAAAATATCTTTATATTTCTAACTCTAACTTAAGGTTAAAGGGTAAAATGAATCAAACATAGATACCTGCTCTTTCTTTTTCAAGGATAAATGATCTAGTCTCATCTAAAGCTTTGTGGCAAAAGTTTCTCTGTATTGGTCGGGTAATAGCTACTCCTGCTAAAGGGGAACGTTCCAGCTCATTAGTTCAATTTAACTGAGTTTCCAGGTCCCTGTTTTTTTATTATATTGCAATCTGTTTTTTTTTTTTTTTATTTTAATAAAGCAAAATACTTCTTGCAGCATTAGTTGTGACACAAATGGCACCCTGGGCAACTCTTTCTCTAACCTTAAAGGAACAGAAAGTGGTTGAGAGACAGAACAGGTCAGGATCAGGTAATCATAAACACTAAGGTATGCTAAAAACACCCTCACCAGAGGCTCAAGAATAATCTGGGCTGGTGGCTGGAAGCAGGCAGGTTAAATAGAAGCAGGAGCAGGTGGATCAAATAATAACGAGAAACTGGGCGGAGTTAGGCAGGTAAATAAAATGAGTAATCCAGCCAGTCATCAGTGCTAAGATCATGACAGATAGACAAACTGAGAAAAAAAAAATCAAGAACTGCTGACAAAATATTTTTTTTCCCCCACTGGATTGCACTGGCATTGAAAAACATTGGCACTCCAACAACAGATTGTTCTAGACACCAGATTTGACAGAGTCACCTGGGTTGATATCAAAATAGTTTTTAAGTAACTGAGCAAAAGTCTGGCTGCCACGACCTGGATGACAGAAAAATTGCATAGGCAACCCTTACTATTAAAAGACTAATTATAAACATTTCTAAAAGAAATAAACATCCTTGAAATAAAAAAAACAAATGCACATTTTAAATGTTGCACATACTATGTAGCACGTAGAGTGCAGCTGGTGCTATAACATCCTATGAAAGCTGGTTGTCTATTTGATTGTCAGGAGAGTTGTTTATGATCTTTGTATTTGTCTAAGGATGCGTGTTGGTGTTTGCTTGAAGATATAAGTGTCTGTTTACAGGGGGACGATTGTCTTTATACCTTTAGGAAGGAAACTGATGCTAAGTCCATATGCTTTCAATTAATGTTTATGTACTCTTTTATCGAGGGTGGACAAACATT